TTGAGTCTGAGGCAGGACAGAAAGACAGGGGAAATTATGGGGACATGGTAAAAGAAGGGAACCTTTAGTGAACTTAATATGCCAGAAGCATAAATTAATTTATATCTTCCCACAATGTCAGAATTTATTAAACAACAGTACATTTGCAGGGTTTAGCTGTTTTAATGACAGCTTTTGTCATTTGTTACCACCTACCTTGGTAGCTAAGGTGAATGAATATAGGTTCTTTTATTCCAATCTTATTAATTTCTTAGTTAGGGTTTCTATTGCTGTGAATAGACACCATGACCATGGCAACTCTTATAATGGAAAATGTTTAATCGGGGCTGGATTCCAGATCAAAGGTTTAGTCCATTGTCATCACGGTGGGAAGAATGATGGCATGCAGGTAGACATGGTGCTGGAGGGGTAGCTGAGAGTTCTACATCTGGATTGGCAGGCAGAAGGAAGAAAGGGTGACACTAGCCCTGGCTCCAGCATCTGAAACCTCAAGGCCCACCCTAATGACACACTTCCTCAACAAGGCCACACCTCTCAATAGCGCCACTTCCCATGAGCTTATGGGGGTCATTTTCATTTAAACCACCAGAATTAACATTAAATTTTACCACACACCACACAGTAAATATATGTCTATATGCATATATGAGCTTTACAGAAGGAATGCCAGTTTAAAAATCTGCAGCAGAGCAGGAGATTTCAGAAAGGGATGGAGTCTGTATTGATAAAATAACAAAGCAGACCAGGGCCAGAAAGAAGCTGCTACTGCAGCTACAGTTTGAGAATAAAGATCTAGAATTCAGTGGGAGGTGAAAGCCAAATCTGGATCCAAGAGTGAAAAACAGTGGGTTCAGGTCCACAGATGGGTCAACGGGTGGATGGTCAAGCAGACCAGGAGACACAAGCAAAGCCTCAGTTCCAGGGTCATGGAGTTCTCTGATTATTAGTCCTTGCCAAACAAACCAAGTATCAGATGATAGCTTTGTGTGGCCCATGCCTTCACAGTATTTGGTATCCCTTTCTTTGTGGGGCCTGGGTATTACTGCTTTTCCTTAGTCTGGCATGTACTATATGTTCTTGGGCTTTGTTTCCCTGATTTTTTTAAAGATTTATTTTTATGTGCATGGGTGTCATACCTACACTTATGTACCATGTGGAGCTTGTGGAGGCCACATGAGGGCATCGGATCCCCTAGAACCTGAGTTACAGATGGTTGCTAGCCATTGTTTGGTTGTTGGGACTCAAAGCTGATTCCTGTGGAAGAGCAGCCAGCACTCTTAATGCTGAGCCATCTCTCCAGCCTGCTTCGTGATGGTTTGGATGAGAATGGTGCCATAGGCTCATATATATAGTTGGAAGTTTCTCCAGGTCCCACCAAGCCTCACTTATAAAATAATCACTCAGAAGCTTATATTAATTAAAACTGCTCAGCCATTAGCTCAGGCCTACCGCTAACTAGCTCTTACACTTAAACTCAACCCATTTTCATTAATCTATATGTCACCATGTGTTCTGTGGCTTTACGTGTGTGCCATTACATGCTGCTCCCTGGATGGTAGGCTGGTCTGACTCAGCCTTCCTCTTCCCAGAATTCTCCCTGTCTGTTTACCCTGCCTATACTTCCTGCCTGGCTACTGACCAATCAGCTTTTATTTATCAACCAATCAGAGCAACATATTCACAGCATACAGAGCAACATCACTCATCACATATATTTGAATGCTTGGTCCCCAGTTGGTGGAACTGTTTGGGAAGGATTAGGAGGTGTGGCCTTGTTGGAGGAGGTGTGTCACTGGGGGCTAGCTTCAAGGTTTCAAAAGCCCATGCCATTCCCAGTTAGCTTTCTCTGCCTCATGGTTGTTGTCCCAAAATATGAGCTCTTAGCTATTGCTTCAGCATTGTGGCTGTATCATGGTGTTTTGTCACAGCAATTGAAAAGTAACATAAACACCCCTGATATTTTAATAGACCCATGTCCTTCTACAGTCTCAATTCATAGGGTAGTTTTCTTTTTACTCCCAGGAATGTAATTTATCAGTCTGTGCTAGATAGATGATGGTACCTGACAGATGGTAAAATGGCTAGCCATCTTTCTCCCTCAAAATGGAATCAAGAGCTGTGTGTAAAATGGTGTCTCCTAGGGCAAGATACAGCCTAAACTGTTTCATAAACTATGCAGTAACTTAGAGTAGGACACAGTTTGATGTCAACAAAGTCCCACACCACAGAGTGACTGAAGCTTCCCACCAGCTGAGAAGCAAGTGTAGTAGAATATTATTTTAAGGTGTGTTACTTTTGTTTATGTTGCATTTGTTTAACTCTGTGAAGCTGTGTTACTGTGCCTATCTAAAACACCTGATGGTCTAATAAAGAACTGAACGGCCAATAGCAAGGTAGGAGAAAGGATAGGCAGGGCTGGCAGGCAGAGAGAATATATAGAAGAAGAAATCTTGCCGGGTGGTGGTGGCAAATGCCTTTAATCCCAGCACTCGGGAGGCAGATCCAGGTGGATCTCTGTGAGTTCGAGGCCAGCCTGGTCTACAGAGCAAGATCCAGGAAAGGTGCAAAGCTACACAGAGAAACCCTGCCTCGAAAGAAAGAAAGAAAGAAAGAAAGAAAGAAAGAAAGA